CTCCACTTTAATTATAACTATTTCCCTTCATTAATAGGGAAGGTATCCAATCATTTATTTAAATACCTCAAGAATTTTTTCTGATATGAGATATTTGGAGCCCATAGAAGCATCCTAAAGGCTGAAAGCGAGATCGTTGAAAAGTTCTTTGTATCATATTTATTTTTTTCTACTCCTTAATTTTATCTACGATCATTTATCATGATTGAAAATATTAAAATAGTGTTATTTAATTCGATTATGTGTTTCTAATATATCAAGTTCGGGTAGAGATGTAGTTCAATTGAGAAGCTAGTTTTATATTTCTTTTGTTTTAACTCTATGCATTTATATTATATATTTTTATTTTTTCAATTATATCTAATTTTTTGTTCTTCATATTGATTTTGATGGACTAAGAGGTAAAGAGAGAACCTAGATATAAAAAAATAGATATAAATAACTAAATTAGGGATACTTATAGAAATTTGTGATAATTTAAATTATAATGTCATGATTTAATTAATTGTTTGGGTATCGTGAATTCGACCCTAATTAAAAAGGAACTGACAACTCAAAAAAATATTATGATACTTTAAAAATAGTTGTCATTATAATTGTTTAGAGCCAATTCAAAGGATAAAAGCTAGCAACACATAAGGTGAATTTTGAACCCCAATATAGCAAGTTATTGTGTTTTCTCCATCATCATTTTCTTACTTTATTTTTATTCTTTATATTCTCATTAAATAATTTATTTTATCTATTTTCTTGAACTATTAATCATTTAAATTAATAAAAATGCAACTTTGCAATGGATTTGATACTTGAAATACTCTAGGTAATTTATTATTGTGATTTTATACACTTGCAAGCAAGGATGGAGTAAGAAAATTTTATTAGAGGGCCAAAATGACAAAGCATATATGATAATAAAATAAATAAATTTATATACATCACTAGCATAACATAAATATTTTAACGTATATATTTATATTCAATTTTACATACATATATATAACTAAAATAAATATCTTCTCATTTTTAAGTTTTGCTCATTAATTTTTCATGGTATAAAAATAATTAATTATTATGCATACGATAAAATTATTAGCTATATCTTTCTTAACATGAACCATCATTAAATTAGTAAAAATTTCACCTTTTTCATGAGCATTGAATGATTTAAATTTAAATGCATCCTTGAGATCTAAATTACTATTAATATAAAAAACTTTATTACTCACTTATTAAATTTATTATTTAATTTTTTTAATTAATAATTATAGTAAATAAATATATCAACACAATAATAACACTCAATTGTCACAAATTCTTTATATTGATAAGAGCTAATTATATTATAGTAAAAATTATTTATATAATAAATTTCAATTGTTTGATCATTACAAGAAAAAGTAAATTTTTAAAAAAGAATATATCTTAACCATAACATTATCCTACAATAGAGTAATGCATCCCTCGAACACTCTTTCCCCTTCATGGTAACTTCCTTGATCTTCTCATCATTCCATTAAAATAATGCATCCCTTTTTCGACGACCTCATTATCATTTAAGGGAACATTTTGAAGAAACGTAACATACAATCACAAGGTAAAAAAAATGTCATATACACAAAGTAATCAATATGTACAAATAATCAAATTATGTTACTTACCATCAAAAAATAAGGCAGCTACTAACATATAATCTTTTCTCCTTATTTGATGCAACATTTTTGTATTTCTTGACCTCCCTCATTAACTACTAAACAATAAATTCACTTTAATTGTAGGAAATCAAAGCTGTTGTCTTACAAAAAATGACTTTCACCAATTGTGAAGTCACTTCTCTTCTTGCAGAAGGACACGTATACCCAATATGTACAAAATAAGCAAGGGCTCAAACATGTTATTTTTGTCAAAAAATCTCAACCCAACACATTCCCTTTCAATTCATTATATATCTCACCTTCCAAATCAACTTTGACAACCTCCCTTCCTTCTTTAGGTAAGCCCACAAACATGTGCACATCATGGGCATCTACTTGTTGCTCAATCACTTCGGGTCAATTGCTTTTATCAAACTTCCACATAGAGCATGATTTATTTGCGTGTACTTCAGATCAATAATCTTTGCCAAAACCAATTGCATTTACCCTGACCATGAGCCTTTCATTCCATTTCACATGTTCAACCACTTCACAAACTTGTCTAGGCGAGTAACGCGTGGGCAATCTCTTTTTAAATGTTTCATTGGATGAAGACACACATGCTCTATGATGCCTTTTATCCCCAATCATTTTGTTGAAGCGAATCCTCTCTTCTTTTGACAAATTCTTCCAACCCTTTCTTGTAACATCAATAGCATTTTGCAATCCTTGACCATGCCTTTCTTTTTTAAGTCATATGCATGAACATGCAATCCACTAAGCCTCAAACAACCCATGTCAGTTGTCTTAACCATGATTCCTAATTGCCAAATATATAAATTACAAGTCTTGAATTATATGACACATGGTTAGGAATTACCGACATTAAAGACACTTCAGAGAAAATGTAAATGTGTGTATTTTCAATTTACATGAAATCAGTCGTGTAATCGTCTCACAAGCATGTTAGCAAATCTATTCATACATTATTTTACATGGAATTCATAACAGTTTCCATAGAAGGCAGGGACACGAGAAGGTAGTGTTCATTTTCTATGAAATCATTTACACCTTACATGTAATTTTCACACATTCAAATTTGTTCATGGATTAATTTATATGAAATATTTGAAAAAGGATTGGGTTCCAGCAATTGACAATTTAGCGTCAATCTCAAATATGAATGAAAATAAGCTCATTCTAAATGAAAACATGCATTTGTATTAAGTTTAGACAAAGTGAAGACGAGAAGAAGCAACTCACAAGAAGAGGAAAGCAAACTTGTGCTTACTCAAACAAAATAGCAGCTTTCACACACAATGCACACCCAGGTGTTACTCAGCCGCCATTTACTCTACCATCGACGAATTGCAACACATACTAGTAGTTATCTGATTAGGGATGCATGTAGAGAGATGGGTTTTTCTTTCACAAAATTTGTCGCTCACAACTCACTCAAACTTTAGACCGTCATTGCTCTTCTAACAAATCCATCCCTTATTGCTGATCGTTGCAGAGCACTCTAAAGTCTTGCAGTTCTCCAAATCGCGCAAAGAAAGGAAGAAGAGAGGGTGTTTTCTTTTTCAAATTTGTTCGTTTTAAGACAAGGGCATGTTAGTAATTTAATCACATTATTTTATTGATATTTTATTCAAACTAGTCCTTCAAGTACAATTAGTCCCTGAGCACAAATGTTGTTCCAAGCAAGTCTTTTTCACCAATTGTCCTCTTATTTTTTTTCTGAAAAATTAATCTACAAGTATTTATAACTTTTCTCAATTTTGAATTAAATTACTCTTAATTTATTTTATATTCAATTAAATATAATAATCTTCAAATTAAAATCCTTAAATTTTTCCTTTAAAAAATGAAATTAAGAAATTTTAATTTTAATTTTAATTTTTATTAATTTTAGAATAACTCATAATTTATATAATTATGTATTCAAATTAATTTATACATATAGAATTTTCATTAATAATTTTAACTATAAACGTTTTGATTAAAATAAAGCTACAAAAACGTAATTTAAAATTGAGCAAAACCTAATTTAATTGTGGCAAGATTAACCTTCCCCTTTTTTGTTTTTAAAAACTTTCGCAACAGTCTTTTAATTCTTTTTCAAACTTTTCAAATTTTGACGTTTAATTTGTTTGTATGTATTGCAAAATGAGAAATGAAGGGCAAATAAAGAGTTCACAAGAACAGCGCCCTCTTTGCATCCATATTCGGCCTCCAATACAAAATTTTTGGCCCAGTGAGAGAGCATCCCATCCTGGACAATCAATTTTTGTTTTTGGGGTTTGATCTTTAACAAATTTATCATATTTTAACCTATCAACACAGCTCACGAATCAATGCATGGGATGTTAGACCTAATCAAAAGTAATGATTGCTACAACAACTTATCAGTGACCAGCACATTAATTTTAGCTTTCATAGTGGAATTCAAATGAAACCTGTTCAAACATGTTCATGCACAAGCGATCTTGGTATCGAAACTGCTAACTGCTGAGGCAGATTGCAAAAACCTGAACTGTGACTTCAATTATGTTTATGTAATTTGTCTGTAAAGATGCAAGAGCTGGTAATGGATCACAATGAGGGCCAAAAAAAAAATTAAAAAAAAAAGTACTTCAACTTTATGAATTCTATGAGCTAAAGTTCTAAGAAAAAATAAAATAGAATAAAGGGTTAATGTGAGGGGGAAAAATAAAATAAAATAATTTTTCACATTAAATAAGTCCAATCTTTGATTATTAGAAAAATGATAACTTGCCTCAACTTTGCTGCTCTCATCTGTGCTTGCTTCTATTTCTAGTTTTGTTTACCTCCTTAATGCTTTCCTCAGTCTTTTTTGCTTTTGATTCTCTTGAATCAGCTTCAACAGCTGCTACAGGTTTTGCCATCTGCAATTAAAAACAAATAAGAAAAAATGGAAAAAGTTATAAAATTAAAACCACCAACTTCTATGGCTACGTGTCGAGGAACTTGATTTGAGGTGCCCAAACTTAATATATTCTAGTCTTTAAAGAGCAATTTGTATCTTTAACATGATTCAAAGCATAAAAAGATTAAGTATTTCAGTTTGGATAACATCATAGCATCATCTGTATGCTAAAAAACAAATAAAGAAATGCAGTTAATATATTAACAGGCAAGTTCTCAACAATAAAACAATAGTTATACAGACGAACTTCCATAAACACTGTATAGAGACTGACGGTCAAAAGTAAATGTAAACACCGTAAAAGTTGTAATACATATCTCCTTCGATCTTTGCATGCTAACTTTCACATTAATCCTGGATCAATGGTTTTTCACTGTTCCTTCATTCACTGACCCAGTGGCCAAAAAAAAAGAAAAATCATTGACGAACGCAAAGGCTTTCATTTCTCATTTAATACTTGAATACCGAGTGACCTGTTGCTCTACCATTGGGCCATGGATTTGACGGCATGCGTTACTTCCCATCAAGGATGCTTGGATGCTCTAGCCAAAACCTTGATCCAATGATATCACAGTGTTCTACAACGACTTTTCTATGACTCTCATGAGACTCTTCATTCTCTTGATGCTGGAGAAACTTGCTTCCTTTGTTCCAGAAGACTGAGGATCCTTGTCTAAACAAGATGGGCAAACTATTATAATCAATTTCCAATTCCTCAAGTCTTTTCCGTAACTGAGCTCCTTTCAAACTATTCTGGGCTTCTTTCTTGCTTTTCCCCAAAGCAACAAGCTTCCAGAAACAATAGTTATACTGATTGTTGATGTGGCAGTCCACTTGCCTCCATGAGAGATAGTCACAAAGAATCTCTCTTGATGGATAGCACACTGCTCTTCCATCAAAAGAAGGAGGATATTTCAATTCTCTCCCCTTGAAAAAGTCTTTCCACCTCATCACATACATAGATGTGAAGAATGAAACTATAGCAGAAACAACTTCACTGGCCCTCCTTCGGTATAGATTCGTGCTTTGTTTCAAAATAAAGCTATACTCGTCACTAACCCCATAGGCAAATACTACATCCGGCTGAAACTCTTCTAACACAGCCATTGCACATAAGTTCATTAAATTAAGAGCTCTCTCATCATTTGGCTTCACAAATCCATGTGTTTCAGAAAACTTATGGAAATGGCACCCATCAATTCTGACCACAATCCATGTGAATGGCATCAACTTTGTGTCAAATTCAAAGGACTTCACATACTCTGATTTTACATTATCAATCTCCTCCACAAATCCTCCAAGCTCCTTTACTAGCGTACTCTGATCATTCCAAAATCTTCTACTAGCTATCTTCTTCGAATGAACTGTAATTATCTTTCTCCTTAGCCTCTTGATCGGATCACCATTCTCCTTATACTTCACAATATCTTCCACCGCAGCTTTTGCAACAAATGAGCCTTGACGAAATATAGGCTCAAGTGTGGTATAGTTGAGATTGAACTCATCAAACAAAAGATCATTTTTGTCACGTTTCTCAGCACCCTCCAAAAAAATTTGTGCCCCCCTTTCAGTCATTCCTCGCTTAACAAGACGCCAAAAGCATTGATCATATTGATTCTTAACATGACATATATTTTGCCTCCACAAAAGGTATGCTTGAAGGACTTCAATAGATGAACAATTTATAACCCTTCCATGGAAGGAAGGAGGGTACTTTAATTCTTGTTGCGGGAAGAATTCACTCCACTTTCTTACATACACAGATGCGAAGAAAGATGTGATTATGGATAAAACTTTACTAGCTCGCCTTTCATAGAATTTGGAGCTCTTCTTGAAGACAAAGCTGAACTCATCACTGAACCCATATGCTAGAACAATGTCTGCATACTCTTGAAGCACAGAAACGGCACAGGAGTTCATCAATTGGAGAGCTTTTTCATCACGTGGTTTCTCAAAGTCATGAATTTTTGAAAGCTTTTCAAAGCCACGACCATTGATCCAAACAACAATTAGATTAGGAAACATCATCTCATCTTCAACCTCAAATGACTTCACATACTCATATTTACTGTTTGCCATTAAACGGAACAATTGGTATCTTCACTCAAGCTAGTTATCAAACACCTTGTGGGCAATATAGTTTGAAAGGGATGAGAATCCAAATAACCATAAGAAATCAATTGCAAATGGACAAAATTCAAGGGATATATCTTAATTTTGCAAATTACCAAAAAAAAAAAAAAACAAGAAGGTTCAGAGAATAGAATTAAATTTGAGCTTCAATACATGGGCGAGGCTGGAGAAATGAAGACAACGGCAACACTTCAAAGCTTAACCTGAAAACATGCAAGAAGTCAGGCTTCAATACATGGGGATCCAGAAGACTTCACTCAATCTACTGCTCGGTCTAATTTTTGAGAAACATAGTCTTATGATGTGTAATCAAAACCAACTTAGAGTCAAAGAACTAGCCTGTCATGAAAGCCAAAAGGGAGGCCTTTAAATAGGCTTAAAGTCTTACTTTGTTTAAATTTGTTTAAACTTAGTCTGATTGTTTCATCCAAATTCATCTGAGATTGAAAACACTGATCAAACCTGAACTTCGTGGAGATATCATAAAACTTTCTATTTAGAAATGACAAATTAATCAAAGTACAGTACAAACCCCTCCTTCTGAGATCATTATATTCCACTTGGACAGCACTAAAATAAACTCACAGCAATTATCATCTGTGAACCGGAAGACGCTAAAATTAATGAAAGCAAAGCAACTCAGTTTCAACTAGTAACTTCAGTTTGAAAGATTAGCTTCAGATGGCAACTCAAAGCTCGAACTTGAAACTTAGTATCAAGAACTCAAAGCTTCAGATGGGAAGAAGAAGGACCACACTTACACTTGACTTTAAAGGAAAACAGAGTTGAGTGCTGTCTACTTCATGAAATTTTTGTTTGTGAAGCAAGTGCTACATTCATGTGAGTGATAATGTTCTTTTACGATAATATTCATTCATTAATTCAATTAAATTAATAAAAAATGATCTGATATCTTAAGTCTCAAGGTTTAAGAAAAGAAGTAAACGGGTTGGCCAAAAAAAAAATTAAAAATAAGAAAGAAAGAAAGATGTAAACAATTGTGTTCTTGATGCTAAGCAGTGAGACAATTAAATTAGTCTCTTGTTTTATTATATTTTAAAGGATTACTTTCAAAATTTAAAAATTTCAAAAAACTAAATTAAAACTTAATGTAAAATAGAGGACTACATGCATTTTTGTGCTTTATTTTATCATTATTTTGATTGCAGTATTTAAATGACCCTTGGAATTTTCCTCCAACTCGATGCTACTATCATTGGAAAATCTTATTGATGTTTACAAATATTTCTTCAAAACTCAGAACTGCATCTAATCTTACATGTGCTTGACTAGCAAGAACTGAACAGAGCATAATTCTCACCTACGGTAACTTTGACGAAACTTACCCGATATTATTATATTATCATTGACAGCCTTGTTTGTTAATCCTCTCATTGCGTATGTCTCTCAACTAATTGTGTGTCCACAGACAAAAACAGTCACTGAAACAAAATGAAATGAAGTAATTATGATCAAGTTTTCATATATGCTGTATACTATTGATCTTCAAATAGAATGTCCCATCTGAATCTCTTCAACATTGAGAGGATTCTTCTGGGATCAACAAAAACTTGTTTCAAATAATCCTAAACAACATGACTTAAAAATAGTGAAGAGTAAAGTTAATTAAAATTAAGGTTCTATCTAGAAATAATAAAGATTGGACTACATCAGGGATCATCTTTGAGTCCTTATTTGTTCAACTTGATTTTAAATGTTTTGACGGAACATATTCAAGAGGAAATCCCAAAATGTATGCTCTTCGCGGATGATATAGTTCTTATAGCAGAGACAAGAGAAGAGGTTAATTGCAAACTTGAGTTACGGAGAAGGACATTGGAGTCGAAAGGTTTTCGTCTGAGTAGAAGTAAGACGGAATATTTATATTGTAAATTTGGTAAAGGACTATCCGAAAATAATTTGGAAGTGAAATTGGGAGATCAAATTATACCTCAAGTGGAAAAGTTTAGATATTTGGGAGCCATTATTCAAAATGATGGCGAAATCAGTGGAGATATTTCACATAGAATTCAAGCTGGGTGGTTTAATTGGAGAAAAGCTAAAGGAGTTATTTGTGACCATAAGGTGCCTAATAAACTTAAAGGAAAGTTTTATCGTACTGCTATCAGACCGGCAATGTTATATAGTAGTGAATGCTGGGCTCTAACGGGACAGCAAGAGCATAAAGTTGGAGTAGCAGAGATGAGAATGTTACGATGGATGTGCGGACATACACGTAAAGATAAAATTCGAAATGAGCATATACGCGAAAAAGTGAGGGTGGCACCTATTGAGGAAAAAATGGTAGAAAATCGGTTGAGATGGTTTGGGCATGTACAAAGAAGACCAAGGGAGGCACCAGTGAGAAGAGTGGAACATATAACTTTGAGTCCGATTAAGAGAGGTAGAGGAAGGCCTAAGAGAACACTCTTGGAAGTTGTTGAACGTGATCTTTTAATTAATAATATTTCTAAAAGCTTAATAAATGATAGAGCACAATGGCGTCTTGCAATCCATGCAGCCGACCCCACCTAGTGGGATAAAGGCTTGTTGTTGTTGTTGTTGTTGTTGTTCTATCTAGAAATAAAATTGACATTTCCAAATGCATTAGATTCGGAAGACCCTTATCACAGAATATATCAAAATGAAGTACTGATTCGATAATCCCAAAAAAAGAGGGGGAAATTGAAGCCAAGTTTCAATTAATGGACAAATCATATAATGAATAACTAATAAAACCCAGGTTACCAAAAAATAATAGACGAACCCCTTCATAAGGGGGAAAATGAACAAAACGAAGGGAAATTTTTACTTAAACTAAAAGGAAGAACCATGGGAGAAAGAAACGGGGAGAGAGTAGACATAGAAAAACCAAATGAACTAAAATCAGATAACCAACAATGTGAACTCTGGATTCCTAGTCTATCCTTTCTTCGTCATGTCAGAAAAAAGGGTGGGGGCGAATAGCAGACAGTAATTCGATAGTCATTATGATCACACTAATAGCACTCGGCTGCAATTTAGCAACTTAATTAAGATCCTACGAAAAGAACATAAACACAAGATTGTTCAATAGGTAACTGAAATGACTGTGTGGCATGAACCCTAAGCTTGATGAAGGTTGCCTAATCAAAGAGCCATTAAACCCAAATCATGTAAATCTTAAACAAATAATGAAGAGAAAACAAGTTTATAAGATACAAACACGACCAAAACCAGAAAACTTTCACACAAAAAAAACCCAGAAAAACGACTAAATTCATCCCTAGAACCATTGAAAGGGGAAAGATCCAGAAAAATAAGGAGTGCTGAAGCCGCGACTCACCTATGCAGTGATTTCATGACGCAACACAAAAGAAATCGAGCGTAGCTGCCAAGCCGGGCATGAATCAGAAAGCGAAGACGAGAAACAGGAGAAGAGCGTGAAAGGAAGCTTTGAGAGCAAATTGGGATTATGGAGCGATTGAATTTCAAGTGATCTGTCGACATTAACAAAGAGCTGCCGAGTGAAACCGAACGACTAGTTTCTACTTTTCTCGGAATTTTCGGTCACGCTTAATAGATGATTGGCAAAATATTAGCTGAGGACTTTCAAAAGTAATTTATTTCAAAAAAGCACAGTAAGATGTTGAAATTACCTTTCAGTATCCGGTTGAAATTAAGTTTTTATGAAAAAAATAATATTACCCCTCAAATTTAAATTAAATTAAATTAATAATAAAAAACTTGTGTGTGAGATATTAACAACACTTCATTTAAATTTTGATAATACTCCATTTATAATTAATAATAACATATTTAAATTTTAACAAGATAAAAATATTAAATTTTAATTTTAATTATTACAAATTAGAGAAGTATTTATCTTGTAGATGTTTTAATTAAGAAAATTAAGGATATATGCTTAATCTCTGACTCCTTAATCCTTTCTGACATGTTACTTGAAACTTAAATTTATTATTAGAATAAGTATTTGATTTATTTCAAATTATTTATTAAATTTTTTTGGATTTTGAAAAAGTTTTAATTTAAATTTAATTATGATATCAACTCTTGAAAAGTTAAGAATTTTTTTTAAATATTTAATTTTGACCTTTAATCATTATTTTTTATATCTTTTTATATACAATTATGTTTAATATAAAATTTTTTATTTAAAAATAGACTTGTACAGATTTCTAAAAATATTTATTTAACTCAAAATATATTTTATATTGAATAGATATAATTTTTGAAAGTTGGGTATTGAAACTTTCATACTTACAAATAAATGTCATTAACCTTCTCTCGCAATTTTAATTATACTCTCAAAATACTTTAAATTTTTATGTGAATTTTATTTCATTGGAAACTTGACATTCAAAGCTTTCCAACAATAAGTAATTTGCCTAATTTAAAATTAAAATAAAATAGTTATAACTTTTAAAAGTTAACAAAATCTTCTTATTTTTAAACTGTGTCCATTATTCAAAAATGGAATATCTTATTTGAGAATAAATTTACTTATTCTGGTATAAGCATCATTTTTTACACACTGTTTCACATGTTCATACTCAATTTTTTTGATTATCTTTCCTTATTCAATCCTTTCAAACTTCTAAGTATTATGTTTATTCTATAACCTTTATAGAATCCATTTAAACGCAACTTTAGTTAAAATTAAATTCTTAACATTCTTTTTATCATCTCTTATTCCCAATTAATCAATAATCTCAAATGCTTACTCTGTATATCATATTAAGATGTTCCTTATTTTAAAATAAGCCCACTTATTTTGGAATAGTCTATATCTCAAGCTATTCTCTCCTTTCTCATTATTTTGGAACAAATCTCTCATTCAAAAACTCATTGCATTATTCCAAAATATATTCAATTATTCAAGAATATATAAATCATAGTTAAGAATAACTTTTCTTATTTCCAAATAAAGCTCCTTAGATCATCATATGCATAAATTTATTTTGATATAAGAGCAATATTTGGGAAGAATCAATCTTGTATTTCTAACCATTTTGTTCTTCACTATTCCAAAACAAATATGTTCATTCCAAAATAAACATGAAGATTCATGCTTTGATTTTCAATTGGTTTTGCATTTCTTCAAATCTCACTCTCTAAACATTCATTTCACAGTAAGAATAATTCTCACCACACACATTTACTTCGACCAAAAATGTAATCCTCCCACCTATATCTATTCATACAATATTTTAATGAGTCAAATCATCAAATAATCATTCAAATCTTTAATCCCGCACTAATTTTAACTTTACCCTCAATTAATCACTAATCACGGGATTAAAATTCAAGATGTTACACAATGTACAGTTGGGCATAAAGCTAGCTTGATTGATTTGAAATTAAAATATATTCTTCATAAAAGTAATTTTTAAAAGTTCAAATGAACAACACTTATCAATTATTTTTACATAATAATAAGTTAAAATTAAATTTTAAATTTTGAAAGACATTTAAAAAAATTGTAATGATAAAAAATTAGAGCCGGTAATTTGGGCCAATCCGAATATGCCTAAAAAATTTAGGCTCGAGCCTAAAAAATATTTTTTTATTGTTTGGGCCTATTTGGATGGTCTGAATACCCGAATAGAAAAAATAAATTTTTAAAATATATATAATATAATAACTATTAATATTTTTAAATTTTGATATTATTTCATCCTAAAATACCATATATTTGAGTGTATTATTATAGTTATTTTAAAAAATAAAAATATTTATATTTTCTTATTTTTAATCAAATAAAATATCTCAAAATAATAATTAAAATATATTTTAATATTAATTTTTATATTTTAAGACTCAATTTTTTCAAAAAAAATTTGAGTCATATACACTATTTTCCTGTCCAAAAAATTATATTTTATATTTTTTATAAAATAAAATAATTAATTTTAAATTAAAAATAATTTTAAAAATAAAATTTGGGCATAGTCAAATTCTTGGCTCTACTACTAAATAAATATAATAATAAAATAATATTTTTAAATAATTATTTAATTATTATCCATGCCAGACTTCGTTAAAAATTAAGAATGAACTAACGTAAATACCTTTATATATACAGCTTAAATAATATAAAAGGTTAAAGGAAAAAAATTTTAAAAAATAGTGTTTTACTCATAATTAAATGATTTTATTTTATATGATATAATGATGACTATTTTTCTCATATTTTTAAAAATAAAAAGTACAGTTTATCCAATAGTTATTAAAAACTTTGAGCTAATTATGAAAATAATTTTAAATTAGTGGTTTAGTTGTAGTTGAATTGAAATTAATTTGATCATAATTAAAATAATATAATTCAATTAAAATATATAAATAATTTTTATATAACCATCATCAGGGCAATTTAAACAAATAAGACATTAATTTGCAAGTAAAGAAAATATTCATAAATAAATTGCATATAATACAATAAAATAGTAACAGAGCTATTTAAATACTTACTTATAAAGTTAATAAGTTATTATTTTTTATTCCTTTCAAGTTAAAATAATATTTTATGCTTAATAAATTATTTAAAAATTAAAATTGATTAAAAAATAAAGAAAAATATTTTTAAAAATTTTTTTAGGTATTCGGGCCTGCCCGAATAAGTCTGAAGCCGGAAGACATTAGGGTTGGGCTTAACTATATGGGCTTTTTAGAAAGAGTAAAATTCTTTAAGCCCGATCCGAATAAGCTCAACCCAAATTGAGCCGGACTCAAATAAGCTCGGCTCGTCTGAATTACCGGCTCTATAAAAAATGTCTACAAGATCATAAAAATAATATAATTCATGATAACTTTCAACAAAAAATAATGCTATAAGATAAATATTATTCACAAAAAATTTAAAAAAAACTTGCACATATTCAAAAAGGGCAAGGTTTGACACCTGCCAATGCCCAGACCGATGTGCTCGAATGTTTCGAGCAGGGTCGGGTTGATTAAGTATAGTGCACAGCCCTATCTCCTCTCATATCTTTCTTGCTCCTACCATCTCTCTCTTTCTCTCCTTTCAACACTATAACTCTGCCTTGTTTTCCTCTTGTGCATCATGTATGTTTACTTGGATAGTTTTGTTACTTGTGCAACATGTATTGTTTTGGCTACCTTGTTTGATTATTAATTTTAATTATTATTTTTATTTTTTATCGGATAAATATTATAATTATTTAATGGGCATTGTTATTTTCTTTAAAATTAATCATATGGATAATATTAAAAAAAATTTAATTCATTCTGTCCTATCAATTTTATGATAACTCCCAAATAATGATCATGTAAAATTATTATTTTTTATTATAAAACTTTCAAATAATAGAAAGTTTAATTTATTCTATTTCACTCCACTCCATTCTGTTAATGATAATTTTTTTTTATTTAATTATAAACTTTCAAATGCACTCTTAGTCTTCTTGTTACTTTGCATTTCCTTATCTATCACCGGATAATCACATCTTTAATAATTTACATGATCTCTCTATCTGGTATGCTCACTTACGTCTCTCTCAAACTGATATACCTATTTTTTGAAGCCAGTAAGTCACAACAACTTTTATATACTCATATAGAAGATATTTGTTGGGAAAAAATGAGAATCTCAACCACTCATTTCCTCTTCCCCTTGGTATAAAACTTAGAATTGTTATTACTGCTGATAATGTAATTTAAATTAATAATTTTTATGTTAATACCCGTATTCTCCACGGGAGTTTTCTTTTGTATCTGACATTCTCCCCCAGTGTTGGAGGGTTTATATTGTGGCCAACAGATTAACAGGGTTTTTGCTTTTACTTTCATTTCATTTCGTTTCACAGTTGGGGAAGGCTGAGAAATGGGCGGTGCCGCGAGGTTCCTTGTCCTCCTCACCACTCCCTTCCCTCTCCTCCACAGCCGCAGCAGCTCTTCCCTTCTCCGCCTGTCTCGCCACCGCAAGTTCCTCCTATCCTCTTTCCATCATCTTAATTGTTCTCCCTCCTATGCTCCACTTCTTCTGTCTCCTCCTCTCAAAGCTTCTCGTCAACTTCATAACCAGGCTGCCTCCTCTGTCCGCAATGGCTACTTGGAAGACTCTTCTTTAGGTCCCCACCATTCCCATCCTTGGCCTGAGTGGTCTAAATTTATTGATCATATCTCTGCTTCTGGATATTTTGATAATCGGCCGTGTGAGGATGAATTTGTGGCGGCGGGGGAATTGAACCCCTTCTTTCTGCGTGAAGCCAGTGCTTGCTTGGCCTTTGCTCGGGATCGACAGAATATTTTGCGGTTAGTTTCCAATCCATTGCCCCCTATTGTGCATATTGAAATTTTATGAGAATTAACCTTGTCACAGTAATTTTGGTGTAAAACTTTGAATTGCTTACCAGTCTCTTCTCTTGGCGCCTTTTTGTCTGTAATTATAATCGTTATAGGCTACTTTCGAGGAGAGACGTAGAGGTGGTCGTCGAACACGGCACGCCATTTCTGTTCCAAGACGCTGAGG